AGCAGTTCAAAAGCACATCAAGTGAAAGTAAATAAATAGGCACCACTCTGGTGGGAAAGTAAACGGCATTTCCATGTGCTGCTCTGGTTCGCTTAGTCATGCTGGCCACATGACCCGGAAGCTGTCTGCGGACAAATTCCGGCTCCCTCGGCCTACAGAGCAAGATGAGCGTACAACCCCAGAGTCATCCGCGACTGGACCTAACAGTCAGGTGTACCTTTACCTTTATGCATGTTGGTCCTGCACATTATGTCTCCTGCAGACTAATGTGGGAGACTAATGTGGGAGTGTGGTGTAGTGGTTAAGAGCGGTAGTCTCGTAATCTGGGGAACCGGGTTCGCGTCTCCGCTCCTCCACATGCAGCTGCTGGGTGACCTTGGGCCAGTCACACTTCTCTGAAGTCTCTCAGCCCCACTCACCTCACAGAGTGTTTGTTGTGGGGGAGGAAGGGAAAGGAGAATGTTAGCCGCTTTGAGACTCCTTAAAGGGAGTGAAAGGCGGGATATCAAATCCAAACTCCTCTTCTTCTTCTTCTTCATTCTTGTGCATGAATAAAATGTGTGGTATCCAAACCACAGCTGCCCTTTGGCAGTGCAGGATAGGAACCTGGTCTGAAAGTATGGTCAAAAAAGGGGGGGGAAGCATTGGAGGAAGAGGCAGTGGAAGAATCTGCTCCTTCCAGTCACTGCATCTTTGAATGTTTTCTCTTCTGAAGAGCCAATACAGAACTTCTATACAGTGGTACCTTGGTTTACAACCATAATCCATTCCGGAGGTCCGTTTGTAAACCAAAACAGGTTGTAACCCAAGGCGCACTTTCGCCAATGGGGCCTCCAAAAAAAATTTGTTCGTAATCCCAAAAAATGGGTTGCAATCCAAAAAAAGGTTGAAAACAGGGACATGCACTTCCGGGTTTCACGTGTTTGTAATCCAAAATGTATGCAAACCAAGACATATGCAAACCAAGGTACCACTGTACTTTTGTAAAAAGCAGCCCCTTCAGAGATTACACAATTTGCAGTACAAGCCTATGCAGCTCTACTCAAAGGAATACAATAGAAAGGAGTTTGGAACAGGGGTTAAGTTACACTAGCAGAATTTACCCTGCTTGCATATTATGCTGCTTTCTGTTATTTTGGCTTGCTCGGTCCCTGCTCCTGCCAACCTAGCAGTTCGAAAGCATGCCAAAAAAAGTGCAAGTAGATAAATAGGTACCGCTCTGGCGGGAAAATAAATGGCATTTCCGTGCGCTGCTCTGGTTTCGGTGTTCCATTGCGCCAGAAGCGGCTTAGTCATGCTGGCCACATGACCCAGAAAAACTGTCTGTGGGCAAATGCCAGCTTCCTTGGCCTGTAAAGCGAGATGAGCGCCACAACCCCAGAGTCGTCTGTGACTGGACTTAACTGTCAGGGATCCTTTACCTTTACCTTTTTTATATTATGCTGCTTTCTAATATTTTGGCTTGCTCAACCTGATAATGTTGCAGCTGAGGTGGGGGGGAGTGTTTGGGGTTTCCCCCCTCTCAGTTACGTATTCCTTGAGGATGTAAAATGCTGCAGTTGTTAAAGCTTAAACAACTCTTTTCAGTCGGCAAATACACCCCACCACACACACATAAAACTTGTGTGCATTTATAAGCCTAAAATCCAATAACACTCTATTTTATTTGTCAAAAGTTGCCTTTGCTGAAGCCCACTGAGTTTCCTCCTTTGACTCATGTGACATCAGAATCAGATGCCACCCTTTCCTTCTCAGTTAATATATTCTGCCTCAGTGCATAGTTCCTTTTCTTAAACAATATGTTTAGCTGGGGTATAAAACTATACAGCATAAAATTCTGTGGCATGACTGCCGTGCAATCACCTTTTTGAGGGAGGAATGTATATATTCCCTTCAATACAAGTAAAAACTGCCAGCTCAGATCTTTCCGGTGATCTCCTAAAAAACTTGAGAGAAACTTTGTAAAATGAGACCTTCAGTGTGGAAACTTGAAGTGTGACCATTCATGCAGAAAAGCCATTAGCTGCGATTTCACCTCTTTCCACCCAGATCTCTGCAGCTTATCATTCACAATGGGCCAAAAACACAGGGGTGTAAACAGGGTGGGGGGAGGGGGTCCTTGCTGGTTTTACGAAATGATTGAGTTGTAATGATTGGAATTTTAGTCACGGGGTTATTGGGCAGTAAAAAATTATTTGGAGGGCTGTAACCTTCCAAAGATGAATAGACTCAATATTTATGAAGTAAAAAAGCTAAAGAACCCCTGGATGGTTAAGTCCAGTCAAAGGTGACTATGAGCTTGTGGTGCTCATCTTGCTTTCAGGCCGAGGGAGCCGGTGTTTGTTCACAGACAGCTTTCTGGGTCTTGTGGCCAGGATGACTAAACCGCTTCTGGCACAACGGGACACCGTGACGGAAACCAGAGCACACAGAAACGCTGTTTACCTTCCTGCCATAGTGGTACCTAATTATCTACTTGCACTGGGTGTGCTTTCAAACTGCTAGGTTGGCAGGAGCTGGGACAGCAACAGGAGCTCATTATGTCATGGGGATTCAAACTGCCAACCTTCTGATCAGCAAGCCCAAGAGGCTCAGTGGTTTAGACCGCATCCCTATTTACGAAGTAAATCTCTGCAAGAAGGCCAAATGCATCCCACCATAAGCACCACTTCTAAAACATGCTTTGACCTCTTCAAGACTCCACTGTAGGAAATTTCTGCCTTGAGAAAAATTTCTTCTATTTTTCAATCAGCGATTCTCCGGCTGTGTCATAGTGAGACTTTCTAAGCACAGAAAGGAGTGCTTACTCCCAAGGAGTGCTTACTTTACAGGTTGTGCCCCTGGAGATGGATAATTTTATGAGATCCTCTTCTGGATTCCCTCACCTGCTGAGGCTAGGTGGATCATGACTAGGGGACAGGCCTTCTCTGTGATGGCAACCCAATTTCAGACACATTCCCTGTTCTGTACACCTGGGACTCATGGCAATGTCTTCTTTATGTCTGGTGAAAACATTTATTTTCACCCAAACACTTGATGATGATGATGACGATGATGAATAGTTAATTTTATCTGTGAATCACTCAAATCTCAAAGTGGTTTCAATAAAAACAGAACAGAACATTTAAAAAACTCCCTAAACAGGGCTGCCTTCAGATGTCTTCTAAAGGCTGAATAGTTACTTATCTCCTTGGCTCAGAGGTCGCATAATTCCAAACCTTCCAACATTTCTCTGATGAAAATAGGGACATCCTAAGGGAAAGCAGAACATTCCGGGTTCAAATCAGAAAGTGGGATGGCTTCTGTAAATCTGGGACAGTCCCTGGGAAATAGGGACACTTGAAGGGTCTGGTAGGCTAATATACCTGAAGGAGTGTCTCCACCCCCATCATTCAGCCTGGACACTGAGGTCCAGCTCCGAGTGCCTTCTTGTGGTTCCCTCACTGTGAGAGTGAGGTTACAGGGAACCAGGCAGAGGGCCTTCTCGGTAGTGGTGCCCACCCTGTGGAACGCCCTCACATCAGATGCCAAGGAAATAAACAACTATCTGACTTTTAGAAGACATCTGAAGGCAGCCCTGTTCAGGGAAGTTTTTAATGTTTGATGTTTTATTGTGCTTTTAATATTCTGTTGGGAGTCGCCCATAGTGGCTGGGGAAACCCAACCAGATGGGTGGGGTATTATCTATCCATCTATCTATTCATTTATTTCTATTATTATTATTATTATTGTTATTATTATTATCTGAAAGAAAGTGACTGCCCAAAGTGAGTGTAGATTAAAGTGTAGAGTGCCTATAAGTGTAGATTAAATTTCTTGCAAATTGGGATGTTATCAATTGTGATTTTAAGTTTTGCTGATTTCTCTGGTACATATGCATAAACAACTAAGACCAGCTTTAATTGTTGGTATCTGATAAATCACCAACCTTTAGTATTTGATAAATAACCATTATTGTGACCACTTTCTTAGCTGCATGTCTCTATAAGCACCTGTTTTCGTGTTAATAAATCCTGACTGTCACAGCAGTCTGTGAATAGAAGCCCACTTCATTTGTTCTAATCCTGGGAAGTGGTGAGGCCCTGCAGCCACAGACAGGCATGTCCACACAAGGACGATTGATTCAATTACATCAGGCAATTTAACACTTCACACAAATTACTTTACTATTACCAAGTAAAGACCAGAGGGATAATGTAAACAACATATGCTCACGGATTATGATCATTCTGGCTGTAAAAACATTGCTACACCCCATTAAATGTTATTTTAAATCTTAGCTAAATGAACTTTACAGAAACGGGAATGAATTATCAAATAGATTGTTCCTTTGAGCAACAAAACCTTTCCCTTCGCAGGCCATGTTGGAATTAGGTTGTGAATTTATCTAATTATACACATTTCTGCAAAACTATGTTCTCTAATAAAGTGTATTTCAAAATGTTATTTTCTCTGTGTTCATTGCTCAACTGGAGAAACTGCATTGCAGAATTGTGAGAACTGCAAAATCCAAAGGATGACAGTGTTTTCGCTTCACATCTTGTTACTGAAAGTGCAAAATGGGTAGGTTTGCCTTTAAATATGAACTGAAACAATTTCCTCCCATTGCTACCTTAGTAGTCAATAGTTACAGGGAGAAGGTCAGGTGGTCCAAAACTCAGAATGAGTTTAGGCTTGCAAGAGATGTATGTATGTACCGTATTTTTCGCTCTATAAGACGCACTTTTTCCCTCCTAAAAAGTAAGGGGAAACGTGTGTGCGTCTTATGGAGCGAATGCAGGCTGTGCAGCTACTGCTGAAGCCAGAACAGTAAGAGGGGTTGCTGTGCAGCCTCTTCAACAACATTTGATTCAGAATATTTTTTTTCTTGTTTTCCTTCTCTAAAAACTAGGTGTGTCTTATGGTTGGGTGCGTCTTATAGAGCGAAAAATACGGTATGAATGAATGAATGAAGGTTTCTTTGGCTGTGCTTAAAGGAAGAGGGAGAACAAGCAAATAGTAGGTCCTCTGCACAGAAAATATTTTAATTGGGGAGAAATGCAACTGGGTGGCAGGGAAAACTGCTCAAGACCAACTTTGAACTCAGCTACATTGGCAAAGAAAAAGTGCTTTATATGCATTGTACAGTATATGCATTATAACACTGTGACACCAAATGGCTCTGTGGAGTTCCATTTTTGCCAATCCAATTTCTCATACAAAGTTTGCAGCGTGTTTTCCTGAGACGCTTCTTTGAAGTGTCTAGATCCAGCCTTTGCCTCTGTCTTCACCCAAAAGGAAAGCAGTGCCCAACCTGACGATAACAGAATAAATGATGCAAGAAGGGAGCTGAGGTGGTAAGGGAACAGCTTGCTACTTTAAATAAATTCACATCTCCAGGACCTGATGAGCTGCACCCAGGAGTTGTAAAGGAGCTTGCAAATGTAATCTCAGAGCCTCTGCGTATAATCTTTGAGAATTCTTGGAGAACGGGTGAGGTCCCTGTGGAGTGGAGGCACAATTCTATGATTCTATCATCTTGGGTTTATGGACCACAATAAAGCTGTGTGTGTGTGTGAGAGAGAGAGAGAGAGAGAGAGAGAGAGAGAGAGAGAGAGAGAGAGATTCTATGACAAACACATCATTTGAATGTAATTCGAACTTTTTCTTGGCAAAAACAAGATCTCACAGGTGGGGGGGGGGCAGTGTCTCCAATAAGCACATTTTTCAAATAAGCATATATTTAGATACAAAGATTTCTCCCTCAATGGACTAAAAGTCAGTTGTTTCTGATAACATAACATTGCTTTGGTCTTTCTTTAAGTTTTAGCCACAAAGTGTTCAGTAAACACAGGTATCAAGCAGCCATTTCCTCAGGTAGTTAATCCAGCTTTGACCATACTGTGGCTCTTGTGGATTCCAGCTATGCGGGCCATGTTGAATTGCAACCTTTTGCATTAGCAGTCATAAATGAATCAGTTCCCGCTGCAAGATTTCTCCTACATTTCAATGAGTAAAAAGCTGAGGTGGCTGCATTGAAAATTTCCTGGCACGTGTTGATTTACTAGAATACCTTAATGTAATTGTTTTCAGATATATATGTGGTATTTAACACATCCACATTTACATAAAGATTTTTGTTTAATCTGTGGAAAGTCTTTAGCACCCTCTAATGGTAAAAACCTGTTATCCAAAACCATACACAAAACCAAATAATCAAGAGAATTTCACTGTGTTCCGTTACATTTGTGGCCGAATACACAAACTAATTGACCTTCAATGTGTGTACAGAATTTGCAGACAGGGTACAATTTATAAAATGCCTAAATGTGAGATTCAGTTGTTCAAAAGCTAGTACCATTGAAACAAAGGAGGTTTGCGGGTAGTTTCAAATAAATCATCAATAGATCTGGAAATCAGCCCTGAGTGCTCACTGGAAGCTGAGACTCCAATACTTTGGCCACCTCATGAGAAGAGAAGACTCCCTGGAAAAGACCCTGATGTTGGGAAAGATGGAGGGCACAAGGAGAAGGGGACGATGGAGGACGAGATGGTTGGATAGTGTTCTCGAAGCTACCAGCATGAGTTTGACCAAACTGTGGGAGGCAGTGGAAGACCGAAGTGCCTGGCGTGCTCTGGTCCACGGGGTCACAAAGAGTCAGGCACGACTAAACGACTAAACAACAACAAGATCTGGGGCAATGGGCTGTAAGAGAGAGATGGCCATGGATCTCCTCCTCTTTCTGAACAAAGTCCCGGAAAGTATGCTCCCTCTCTTTTTCAGAGTTTTTTGAACATGATCTGAACTCTCTGTCCTCTCCATTGTTTTTTGTAGAAGTCCATCTCGTGTGTGTATAGCTGAGATGCAGTAAATAAAGTTGTGCAAACTGCAAAATGAACACACGCAAAGAAACACTTCATATATCAAAAGGCTACCTGTCACGGGTGATGGTCGGGTCACCAACTGTCATCAAACAAACTAAGCACACGAACTGCCGAAGACAATGCCAGCTTCAAAATCTTTAAAAATACACAGCTGTTGCCCTTTGCTGTGCTGGCCAGGGTGTTGCACAGCATTATTACAAGACAGACAAAGACATTTCTAGCCTAGCATATCTCTTTGTGATATTATGAACGAGGCACATGCCCATTTACAAGATGCACACAGCGAATGTTTTGTACTAAGTTTACTGAAGCCGTGGCAAACAGAATGCTCGGCTGTCTCAATTGCTCGACTACAGAGAATTTGCCAGCCATCTAAATTACTTCTGAAAGACTGAACGCATTTAGGAAGATAATCGAAAAGAGCAGCCAGGTAACAGCTATCACCCCGTAACAAGAGATCAAGGCCGTTTATGATCAGCCCAGCATCTATTAAACTTCTTTATTTCCTTTTCCTTTTCCTCAGTAGCCATTCGAACTTGAGTTGCAAGAAAGCATAGCAAGACGTGCTATCCATCTGTCTCGAGAGAGAATGGTATAATACAGACCTACCTTCCAGAACATTTTAAACATTACTAAGCATGTGAAATTCTTTCAATGCTCAGGATAACTACTGTATTTTTTGTGTATAACACGCACACACCCCATGTATAAGATGCCCCCTATTTTGGGGGACTCAAAATTAAGAAAATGGGGGGAAATTGCCCAGAGTTGCTGAGCTTTTTTGGGGAGTGGCCCAGAGTTGTTGTTCTTTTGCTGATCACCCACCCAATTGCCGTAGCGACAGCCAATCAACACCAGCCCCTGCCGCAGCCACCAATAACACGCCTAATAGCCGCTGACAATCTCCGGCTCACGGCAACAACCAATCCTACGTCCTCCCTATGCACTATCCATGTATAAGATGAGCCCCAATTTTTAACATAATTTTTTAATTAAAAAACCTCGTCTTGTACATGGAAAAGTATATAGAAGTCTATATTTTGTAAAAATAGGAACCAGGTATCTGATTTTAAAGGCCAATCAACACACCCAACTTAGGACCAAACTAGACATGACAGGCCAGCCAAACATATTTTTGTCCACCGCCCCCATTCACTCTTCACAGGAAAGGAAGCATGCAGAGCAATGGAATGAAACCTCTCTTATCCCCTGCCTTGCCTTGTTGCACTCTGTGGTTTTAAGCAATTTTCTCCCAGCATGCATGGTGAGAGAAGTAGTATCTCAGCACAAGCTGTGCTCCCAACTCACGTATGTCTGTTTGAGCATCAGGTCATTTGGGCATATAAACAAAGCACAGGCTTTGAGGGCAGAGTCTGCCCTCAACAATGTCAAAAAGAGCAACAACCCCACAACAACAATGACCCTACTTGTTAGAATTCTTGCCCCGTGTTGCAGTCATGGGATTGGTTTTCACATGACGGTGTATGTTTTCATTCCACATCGTGGGAAGTGACGGAGACAGGATGTTTTTATTACTGTGTTTCCATGATGTAGGAATGTTGTCCTTTGTTCTCTCTCTTTGCTATCTGATGCTGAAGAGGAAGGAGCTGAGTTACGATGCTCCGAGTGTGTATATGTAAATAAACGTAGTTTAGCCAAAATGCTGCGCTACTGAGTCTGTCACTCGAACTGCCAACACTCTGAAGAAGAAGAAGAGAAGAAGAGTTTGGATTTGATATCCTGCTTTATCACTACCCTAAGGGGTCTCAAAGTGGCTAACAATCTCCTTTCCCTTCCTCCCCCACAACAAACACTCTGTGTGGCGAGTGAGTCTGAGAGACTTCAGAGAAGTGTGACTAGCCCAAGGTCACCCAGCAGCTGCATGTGGAGGAGCGGGGAAGCGAACCTGGTTCACCAGATTACGAGTCCACTACTCTGAACCACTACACCACACTGGCTACTAGTCCTACTAGTCCTAAAGTGTGTTGATGCCTCTTGGTATCAGTCGCTGTGATGTTTGGGCTGGAAAAAGACTTTGAGTCTCCCGATCCGAGACCAGGGAGAAGAGTTGGTGGAAGAAGATTGGAAGAAATTTAAAGTTTATTTACAGAAACACTGTAAAATTAAGGAATGTTAGAAGGATGTTGGAATGAAGTAATGTGGTTTTAGCAGAAATGCTATAAAGGATTAAGAAAAAAACAGATTGTTAAATGGTGAAAGGAGGGAAAGTAAAGTTACATTATATTAAGATAAAATATAGGACAAAAACTGGAAAAGATGGAAAGGACTTGCTGAAATAGCTAACTGAACTAGAATACAAAAAAGGGAGGTGTGAGGAGGTCAAGGAAACAAGCAAATGAAAGATAAGTTATGGGAAGGTTCATTGTATTTTGTGTTTTTTTTCTCTCTTTAACTGTTTTTATCTTTTTAGTCTTTTTTTGTGATCTTTTGTTTTTGCTTAATATGTTGTTTTCTATTTTTTCTTTCTGTAACCTCTTAAATCTTAATAAATATTATTAAAAAAAAAAAAGACTTTGAGTCTCCCGAACGACCAACCAGGAGGGAGAGAACATGCCAGCCAGGCATGTGTCTCTGCTGGGTGCCTACTTGTGTGTAGGATGCTCCTGACAACTACACCCTCACCGTACCACAGCTGAATATCTGTAAGGGGGATGGGGAGAGAGCAACTTAAAGGCCAATCACTGCTGTGACAGGGTCGGCAAACTCTGCGATTTACAATGGCTGATCCTGAAGTCTTCCCAGGGGCTGAGGTGTCCCTATGATGTACAAGCTACTCACAGAGGATATAGATGAGCATTATGAGAGGCAGGAGTAACCTGATGTGGTAATGGGCATATCTAACATGAAGGAGATTTAATTCCAAGGTAAAGAACTCAGTTTTGAGGAAGCGTTCAACCCTCTGTATATAATCCTGGATTCATGGATTAACCACATTGACTTGGGAGTGGAGAATGAAAACGGTACGTCCTGCTACAAGTAATTTCATTTATGCCTAGCCACTCAGTTGCACATTTTTTAGTTGATACAAATTTCTCCCACTGAAGATCATCTAGGGTATGCCAAATTAGGTGCAATATAGCGCATGAGAAAGCCCGCTAGAATTCCAGCAATTAAAAGTAAATGTAACTTCACATTGATTATAATCCTTCCCCGAGATCACCCAAATTGCATACAGTTTCTTTCTAAATTAGTCTTAATTAGCATCCAATCCAAATTTAATAAGGGGAGTTATTTCATGTATATAATTGTTCATAGGCAAAACATTGTGCAATAATCATCATTAGGATGGAACACATTTGTGTTGCTCAGGATTATTTAGCAGTCTCCAGTGTGGAACTGATTGTCAGAAAGTCAGAAATTGCATGTCACTTGAAGAAAAATGGAGGGGGGGGGGTGCCTGCAGATTTCTTGAAGGAGAGTTTGACCTCCAAACAACACAACTTTCACAGGCCCATCCTCTGCCCAGTCACCTTCCTGTCCCTGTTGCCCAACCTTTCCCTGTTCACTTTCCTCTTTTCAGCAGGACAGGTGAATGTTGACACTCAAGGCAGTGCCCCCAGGCTGGCTTTGAAACTGCACTTTCAGGGACAGCATGTGAGAATTCAGCTTCTGCACCACCCCATCACATCACAGTCAAAGACATAATTTCACAAAATAATAACCAGTCAGATCATTGAGTAAGCCTTCTGTGTGTCTGGCGTTCAGCCTGACCAGTCTTTGTTGCAAAGCCAGATCCTTCTTGGGGTGCTTCTGGATGGGGCTTGGGGGGGACTTAATTTATGAATGGGTTATTATACTGAAAGCAGGTCACTGTAAACAGGTTTGTTCATTTGTGTGCTTACTGGGCTTTCCCCAGAAAGGGTTGATCTAGCTTAAATTGGAGCATTTTGATGCCAATAACATCCTGTAGCTGCCACAAAAAGCTCAGGTGTGTGAGGAGCACTGTTCCATCATGAACACCTGTTTGGAAGCATCCTTGCTCTTTTGTTCTTTGATCTAAGTAACCGAGGAGATAGGACTTACTAGAGTTTCATGCCAAGCTTCACCTTGCTTCTTGGGTCCTCTGCTGTTCAGTTGGATCTCAGGAGCACATCTTTCAGAAGATTTCAATTATGATTCTAAGAAGATTGGATAAGACCCATTGCACTGCAAATAGAACAACTGGAATACCAGGAAAAATTCTGTTCCATTTCCATCTTTGACAGATGCCATGTAATCTTAGTTCAGGCATTACATGGTGCCATTTTTGAAGCAGCACATCGCCATCTTCCACAATGTTCTTAAGCACTTCATTCCAGTTTTCCAGCAGCCTAACCTAGCGTGTCATGCTGCTTTTTGAAATACTATGTAAAATAGGATATTACAAGAGGAGTGCCATTGTTTCAGCCCTTCAGTATTTATGAGTTACTTCCTTGTAGATGAACAGTTTCCTTTGCTTTGTCATCCTGCAAACATATTTTATGGAGTGTTTTTACTACTGCTTTGAAGTTGGCAAATCTCCCAGAGAGATACACAACTGGGCGTTATCTGGAAATAAACATGAAATAAAGCAAGCACCCACCTCTGTTCAGCTTTATAGCCCACAAAACGCCTTACGTTTGACAAGCAGAAATGTGCAGGCCACTAAAGTAATAACAATGGATCTTCTCTAGCAAAGTTTAGAATTCTGCTATGCTAATGTTAAGCCAACATTTATATCTTGGCTTAACAATATGAATGAGCTTCATGGTCCTACATATAGCTGCTTTGATCCTCCCTTCATGCAAGCTAGGATGCATGTTGGGAAGTCTTTGGTTAGCTATAGTTATTTATTTTGTGGGTTTATTATGATTATATATTTGTCCAGCCTTTAAGGATATAGAAACCTATCTAAGGCTGCTCGCAAATAAATTCTAGCACTTTAATAAAAATCACAAGAGAAAAAATGCTAAAACATTACACATCACACACATGAAACATTGTACTAAGCTTTCACCTGGGTGAGAATCATCTCACAGTCTTTGACAGCATTGACTCTGCAGCCTTCAAGCAAGCCAACTTGCCTTATTATTGCTCCCTAGCATCCCACTGCCAGAGGATTGCCTCCTTCCATTCACCCCTTTGCCTCCTCCAAGTGGAAGAAACCTGGGCAGTGCTGAATGTCACATCCATTGCCAGGTGTGTCCTGCTGGAAATAGGAAAGAGCTTTCCCCTTGGCCTGCCTGTATATCCACTCAGTTGCCGAGTGCTTTTGTGACATCACAAGAAAGCCATAGCCAACGGCAACACCTGGCAATCTTCATTGCTTTGAGCCTCACAATGGTGGGTGGACCTATCAGTGATTGTGTGCTTGTTTATTCAGGACACGGGTGGTGCTGTGGTCTAAACCACCGAGCCTCTTGGGCTTCCCAGTCAGAAGATTGGCAGTTCAAATCCCCGTGATGGAGTGAGCTCCTGCTGCTCTGTCCCAGCTCCTACCAACCTAGCAGTTCAAAAGCACACCAGGGCAACTAGATAAATAGGTACCACTGCGGTGGGAAGGTAAACGGCGTTTCCGTGCACTCTGGTTTCCATCACAGTGTTCCGTTGCGTCAAAAGCAGTTTAGTCATGCTGGCCACATGAACCAGAAAGATGTCTGTGGACAAACGCCGGCTCCCTTGGCATGAAAGCGAGATGAGCGCTGCAACCCCATAGTCACCTTTGACTGGACTTAACCGTCCAGGGGTCCTTTACCTTTTACCTACTTGCCAGTAATCATTGGACATCCTCATCTACTTTGACGTCTATCAGCTTCCAGCCCATTTCCTGACTGTCTTTGGGTCTTTGAGGATTGCAAGAGAATGCATAAAGGTTCTTCAGTTCACTGACTGCAAGGGTCACAGCCATGAGGTGTAGCTCTTCTCATGCCCAGTAACAATGTGAGCCATGCCAAAAGTCTTGCAGGGAATATGCAGTGGACAGCCAGTTGCCATCAGAGACAGCTTCTACACAACAACAAGAGATTGGGGAACAATCCATCAAAGGTGGATCTAGGGGAGCACAACCAGTTTGCTCACACCAGGCATAGCAGGCACCCAAACTTTGACATCCAGCAGAAGGTGAGAGGCGGGTGGGTGCCAGATTTTTGCATCACACAGAGCACCACTGAAATCTGAGGTTTTGAGATCTGCTGCTGAATCCATGTCTCCTTCTCAACGTAAACCAAAGTATCTTCATAGATCTAAGGCAGAACTATCCAGGATGCTTTCTCACTACAAAGCCCCTAAACCATGGCCTGGGGGCCAGATCCGGCCAATCACTTTCTAAATCCGGCCCGCGGATGGTCCAGGAATCAGCGTGTTTTTACATGAGTAGAATGTGTGCTTTTATTGAAAATGCATCTCTGGGTTATCTGTGGGGCATAGGAATTCATTCATTATTATTTTTTCAAAATACAGTCCGGCCCCCCACAAGGTCTGAGGGACAGTGGACCGGCCCCCTGCTGAAAAAGTTTGCTGAACCCTGCCCTAAACTATAGGTTAATGGCTTTTGAACAAGCCAGGATATTAAGCCAACTTTAAACTTTGGCTTTGTATCCCAGCTTCTTCAGTAGCCTTTCAACCATAGTTTTCCAGTTTGGACATAATGAGAAACTATAGTCAACTGAATATTTCCTGGCGTGTTCATTTTCTCCCGCAAGGAGAGGGATGAAGTGGCTGCATGCAGAGCCAAGAAGCTCCGTCCTATTTTGGCTCATTAAACTGAGATTATCATCATCCCAATGTAGCCAGTGTGCTGAAACCACACATTGCAGCAATGTGTGCTTGAATTAATTGCATTATTGAATGCAATGAATCTATTTGGATAGGCAAAAAGAAAGTATTGTTCCTAGGATATTATGGTATCGCTGCTTGATGCACATTAGAACAATTTCCATCTCTAACAGCAGCAAACCAGATGCAAGACCATTGTTTGCACTGATTTTCCCAATTTTCTCTCCCAACAGCACCTCTCATCCTATATCTCCCCGTTGAGGGTCCTTTTCTGACCTTGTGCTCGTGCTCCTTCACCATCTCCCTGCACTGGATACAACACAGTCAATAAATTACTGAGCTATTGCATTATAATAGGGAAGAAACAGCACGACTTCATTTGGAGTTTGATTCCGCCTGCATTGAAGATGTGAAACATTCTGAAAGCGTGGCAGAGAAAATTACTTGAACTCAATTGGAGATGCCACCCGCTGGTACCATGATAAAGGATGGCAGGCTGAGAGGAAACAGAAAGCCAGCAGCTTCGCTCCTCAAAGCACGCTGCACCTGGAAGGGTGAGGATGGTGACAACTACCTTCCCAACACTGGCTTGGTGCCAGATTGAGGCACGCTTAGAGAATATTGAAATCAATGCATGACTCTAGCTGGACTCAGGCAATTGCACAAAGACATGAGGTGGGGACAGAGGTGCACACGAAAGCCACAGTCCCGACATCCCTGAGTGTATTATGATGATGATGATGATGATTCCTCGGGTTACAGATGCTTCAGGTTACAGATGCTTCAGACTCTGCTAACCCAGAAATAAGAACTTTGGGTTAAGAACTTTGCTTCAGGATGAGAACAGAAATCGTGCTCTGGTGGCGCGGTGGCAGCAGGAGGCCCCATTAGCTAAAGTGGTACCTCAGGTTAAGAACAGTTTCAGGTTAAGAATGGACCTCCAGAACGAATTAAATTCTTAACCCGAGGTACCACTGCGTTATTATTATTATTATTATTATTATTATTATTATTCCCACCTTTTTTCTTACAGGAACTCACCATCTCCTTCCCTCCTTGAAGGCACATGACACCTACCAGCATCTATAGCAGTAAAGTTCAGTTTTGATCCTAGGTGCAGACAATCTGCCTCCACCTTCTTGGACATGGGGACAAACCCTCACCGTCTTGCCACCCCAAAATGGCAACCCCACCGGTGGCTGACCACCCCCACACCAGCCTGGTATAATGAGCACTCATACTTTATATGTGCCCAGGAAGGTATAAAGACAAGGAAAAGTTTCTTACAGTCCTTTTTTATTTCAAACTTTACAGAGATAGGCTATAGAACCCAGCCTCTTGGATAATGGTGTTGTCCCAAGTTAATCTACACACACACACACCCGTCTCTCCCACTTCCTCATTTGTCATTTCTATGGGTGCTGCTATGTGCCCTCTGTCTTTGAGCTCTTTGCTCTCCTGCTTTTAAGGTTTGATGGGTTCTGGGAGAGGAGGGGCTCTGGAATGCTTTCTAATAACAACGTGTCATCCGGGTGTTGTTCTGGCTCTCCCATGATTTCCCAACTTTTCCCCTCATCTGCCTCTGAGCTGTGACCTCCCTCAAACCCCTGTTGTAAATCTATACTGTCTTCCTCCATTCCCCCTCTGCCCAGTCCTTGACAAATACCTAGAAATCACAGGTCTGGGTGGTTTTCTGCTTGTCCTGCCCCTTTCCCCAGGAAAATCCACTTTTTGGTGATGAATGAGGCTAATGCCAATCCACAGAACACCCAATTGATGTCTGCTAAAGAGCAGGCTTTCCAGGGGGTGTGGAAGTGGTGGGACAAGCAGAAATCTGGATGAGCCCCTTGTCATGGCTGAGGAAGGGTCTCTCACCACCTCATTTAAGAATGTGGTGATGCTTGGCCTAGAAGGTGTAAGGCCTTCATCCTGACATTCTAAAAGAGGTTAGCTTATTCACAAAGTCTCTGGCACATTCATTTTGGAGAAAACTGTGACAGGCACGTCCATAACTCATTCCTGTTCCTGCAGAGAGCTCGAGAGGAAAGCAATGATAAAAACAAAGCTGAAATTGAAAGCAAAGGGGCAAATATTGCACTCGTCATTGTGTCAAATGTTGCGGTTTGGTCAAATTCAAGCGTTTTGCTCTGCCAGGATATCATATTGGATGTGCTCCCATTACAGAAGAAAATGAAACTACTGACAGTCTGTTTGCTTTCATAGCTTCGGTATTTGTTGTTGTGAAATGATTGCTCTGTGTATCATCCTGAGAAGTTTCGACCCAGCAACTGTTCTCCACAGCAGGATCTCAGGAGGAACTAATAGATAGATACACAAAAGTTTCCTAAAACTAATCTTTATTTCCAAAAGGTGGCCTTTCTTATGGGTAGCCAGAGAATGGTGGAATGGAGAAAACGTTTGGGTTTTGGCACAAAGGACTGAAAAGATCTCCATCCAAAGATAGGGGAATCGTCCTTCTGCCCATGTCAGCTTCCAAGTAAGGATTGTGGTAAACTGGTATCTTACCAAGGAATGGTTGACAGATGGCATAACTTCTCTGTCCCATTCCATTCCTGGCTGGAGCCTGGTAAAGGTTACATGAGCTTCAGCTGGCTACTTGCACAATACACTTCTGGAAAGTGGCTGTGAGCCCAGTCCAGAGACATGGGTAGTTTTATATATACCTTTAAAAGACACCTGCTTGTAGATGAATGCATCAGCTCACAGTGAACTCCCAGATGATGCAAAATTCAGTCTCTTAAATCAGAAATGAAAAAAGAAAAAGAAAGGGCAACTTGGCTTTGCTTCTTTGTGATTATTACTTTTGCCGGCCAACCCTCCCCACCACCACCACCCATAAAAAAAACATGCAGATGCTCTTCTATTCTGTTGCCATCACAGAGTAAAAGACACAACAGTATTTTCTACCAATATTTTCAAGATGCAACAAAGCTGGCATTGGTGGTCCGGTATAAAGAATGTAATCAAGAGCAACATTCTTGATTCTATCCGAAAAGCACCCATAATGACATCCATGAATCTCATGGCATAGATCGCTACAGATGTACCTTATGTTGTCCTCGTAGGTTGTGGCAGAACAAGCAGAGTAGTGTGACCACAGCAGATGAACAAGAGGACCACGCTCCAGGAAACCTGTTGGCTGCATTCACTGCCATGTGTGTGTTAGTCGATATTCTGGAGTTCAGATTAAGAAGGTGGCTGCTGCCTTTATTTACTAGGCCAGTGGGACACAGATTATGGACCAGATTCAACTTCTGCTAGCATTCTGCTAGCAGAAGGCAGTGGAAGGACTCCAGTTAGGGCAGCAGGGTCTTCTCCTCCTCTCCTGCTCTGGAGAGCCTCTCTCCAAGGGGAGCTTTTATAATAAAGTCTGGTAGTTATTTGAACACCATCACATTGGCTGTTCTGACCAGGTCATGTTTACTTCTGGGTGCCAGGCAGCGTGGCTTCTGAAAAGCGC